CACACAGACACACACACACATATATATATATATATATATATATATATATATATATATATATATATATATATATATAGCTTGGGCATTATGTAAGAAGGATTTCAGGTCAAAACTACGTGTCCGGCTGCAGTCATCTTATATATATATATATATATATATATATATATATTAAAATGCAAGTGTGTTAGGTGCCAAAATTACTGGTTCTCTGTAGTTTACAGGCAGAAAGGCAATTTAGGCGGGCAGGTTTTAGTTTTAAAGTGGTCGATATTAAAGTTAAGTAAACTTATCACTTAACTGAGTAGTGTTATTTCAGTCATACCGACTTCTTGAGCGCATTGTTGTAATGCCTTCACTCTTCAGGGCTATTGTTTTTCTGCTACGACTTCTTCACCTTTCTATATTTATGTATAGTTTGGTGCAATTTGATATCTTTGTGTGGGTGTGTGATTTTTGATCTCTCTCTCTCTCTCTCTCTCTCTCTCTATATATATATATATATATATATATATGATTGTGATTTATATTACCTATTTTTATCTTTAGTATTTTGCTGTTTCTTAAGTGGTGTAGAGTTTCTTGGTGGTTTACTTTGTATTGTGCCGACAACTTTTGTCTGTGTTTATATATATGCTCACTTTATTTATGATTGAACCCATTTTTCCGTGTTGAGCTTACCTTTTGTTTTACCGTGTCAGTGTATATGACCGCTTAATGTTTTTACTTATTTTTAGGACATGGTTAGGTGATTGTTCTTGTGCGTGTGTTTATGCTTAGGTTTTTGTGCGTGTGTATGTATGTATATATATAGCGTGGTGTGTGTGTGTTTCTTTTTTTTTTTTGTTAAGTGTTATCTAGTTGTTCTATTTTATCTTTTATCATATGTTTTTTGTTTAGTTGTGGTTAAATATTTATGCCTGTGTGTTTGTGTGTATATGTAGTAGGTTTTTGTATATAGTAGGGTTGTATTTCGTGTCGTGTTTATTTGTTTCAGTTTATATTGCTATTTAAATAACACAATAAGTATTTATATGAGTGTCTACATTTATATGAGTGTCTACATTTTACCATTATTCTGTTTTTTGTTTAGTAGTTTGCTTTGGTTTTTAAAAGTAATTATTGGTAATTTTTCTTCCAGGCATAGTTTCCGCTATTGCTGTTGTACGGGGATACTCTGTTAATGATTTCCCGTTTAATTTTGGTGGTAATTGTATTTTCTTTTTGGTTCCATAAGTATTTTGATAGTGTTGTTTTTGTAAAATGATTTTTTTAAATGTTTTTTGATCGTTAAATCTTTCTTTGAAGGTTGTCTCTGTGATTACTATGTAAATCTTTTCATCTGTGTTAATATTGTTTATTATGATGGCTTTACATATTATATTGTTGGGTAGACATTTATTGTTAAGTGGGCAGTTGTCTTTGTTTCGACAGTTGCATTTATTAATGTTGTTTTGCTAATTGATGTTTTTATTGCTATCGTTTTTGTTGAGTATTTTTGCTGTGTTTGGTTATTATTTTCTTCATGTTGTTTATGCATCTGTGACTAATTTTGACTGTGTTTTTGTTGATGAGTTTTGATAGTTTGTGGTATTTTGGAAAATGGTTTTCAATTATATTGAAGAATATTTTTCCTGTTTGTTTTTATTATATTATTGTAGGGAGGGTTAAACCAGATTATGTTTCTTTTTCTGTTGTTTTATTTGGTTTATTTTCGTTTACGTATTCCAGTTTGTGTGAATAGTCGCTATTTTTTAGTAGCGATTCGTCCGTTTTTTTGTTTTCGCTGACTATTTTAATGTTGCTGGAATTCGTTGATATTCTATTAGTGTTGATATTCTATTGTTTATGAATATAGGTATGTGTTTGAATGTGTTAGGGGGTGGTTGGAGTTTTTGTTGAGATATATGGGGTAGTTGTTTGCTTTTCTGTATTGTTTGTGTATATTGTTGTTTAAATTGAATGTTATGTCTAAAACAATGACGACTTTTTGTTGCAGTTTTTTGTGTATATGTTGTAACTAGTGACTTGATTCACTTTATAGTCCACCAATAGAAGGTTCACCAATCAGAAGACGTAGAACATTCAATCCGTCGTGTCTAAAGGCGGCCATTTTGTGTATTCTATCCGAATGCCCAGTTCCAGCTTGTCAGGCGAAGAGATAACAGAAGGACGAACTACGCTCTGCTACTTTTACCAAAATATCCACTGCTAACCTGAACTACGCTTCCCTACTGTCTTCGAAATATTCACTGCTAACCTCTGGATTCTATACTCGAAGACGACCGTCATCACTAACAACACTTTTAGATTTGATTTTATGTCTATTGTTAATAGTAGTGTGTAGAAAGTTTCTATGATTTGCTTTCTTATTTTTTCCGTGGTTCCACTTTTACAGATTCTTAGGGTTATTAGTCAGTCGCCTCTGTATAGGCCTATATTTTTTGTTGATCATGTTTGCTAATTTGTTCATGGTATGTATGCCTATAAGTTCACATATTTTTGCGCCGTCGTAGCTGACATTGTTATATGAAATTTATCGTTATTGGTATTATTTTGTTAGTGTTGCGTTTTGTCTGACTATATTTTGCTTTTGTGGTATAGTATAGGCATTCTACAATATTTGATGATGTTTAGATAGTCATCTAGGATACTTATACGTTGTTCTGCTAGATCTGGTGCGTTGTTCACTGTTTGTTCGTTTAAGTCTTTTATGTCCAGTTGTACAAATCGGCATTCTTCTTTGTCGTTGATGTTGTTAAACCAATTAATTATTTTTTTCTGTTTTTCCATTAGTTTATTTTGAGTTTGTTCCTTTTTTTAAACATATTTCTTTTACTATTTGTTTGTTTATATTCCCGATGTTGGTTTTTGCATGGTTTATTAATCTACATGTTGGTTTGTTTAACAAGTAGTTCAGATGATTTTTTTTTAACTTTATGAATGGTAGTTGCTTGATCCTCTTGTCTAGATTTAAGTTTGGCATCTATATTTTTTGCTTTCCATAGTGCTGCATATGGTTTTATAGAACGTGGGGATTTCTTTTGCAACTAATTTTTTTTATCGTCGTTAGTTATATATGGTTCAAGAATTGTCGGCTTGTATATATAGGCTTTTGATTTCTTGATCGTTTTCAGTCTTTTTACAATTGTTTTTTTAAATTTGCTGTTTGATTTTCTTGTTTGATTATTATGTTTATTCGGTCGTTTTCAAATGAAACAATGTCACTCTGTAGTGGTGAGCATTTTGTTGACGAAAATCCAAAGTTATTGTGGCTGTTAAGGAAATAAAGTCATTTCCATCGTATGCATTTTATGAAATGTTCTATTTATCGGTATGCTTGATTTTGTAGTCATGGATGTTGATGTGGCTATATTTTTTAGTGAATAATTGAATTGTATTTATTCCATGTTGGTGAGAGGCTTGCAGTTTTAGGTAGCAGCAGTAGGGTTCGGTGTTATCAGAAAGATGTATGAAGACAAGTGTTTGCGAAAGTGCTCGACTGGAGTTGTTTTTTTTTCTTTCTGTAGCTTGGATAATATTAAATTTTAAGAATGTTAGGTGCCAAAATTGCTGGTTCTTTTTCTGTTGGAAAGGTGGGCAGGTTTTTTTTCTTAAAGTGCTCGATATCAAAAAGGTAAGAATAGAGCGTTAATAGAATTAATGTGGAGAAATTTGTCACTTAACTCAGTGGTGTTATTTCAGTCATGCCGACTTCGAAATTTCGTGAGCACATCGTAGTAATGCCTTCACACTTTAGGACTACTGGTTTCTCCGCATATTTATATATATATATATATATATATATATGTCATTCGCAGACAGTACTGTTTCACTGTATCACAGCTCCTCAGTATGACTAGACAACCGAATGCTTCAAGCCCGGATCGAACCCCACCGATTTGGTGTCAGTCAGAGCTTCTACCACTGAACCATCTGCACTTCACAGAAAGAATCAGCCAAATCTAGCTTATTGCTTTTTATAAACGTAAACTTATGCCAAGCAATAACACACACACACACACATATATATATATATATATATAGTATTAAATTTTAAGAGTGTTAGGTGGCAAAATTGCTTGTTCTTTTTCCGTAGTTCACTGGTGGAAAAGCATTTGAGATGGACACGTTGTTTTTCTTAAAGTACTCGATATCAAAAGTAAGGATAGAGCGTTAATAGACTTAATGGCGAGAAACTTCTCACTTAACTGAGTGTTGTTATTTCAGTCATGCTGACATCGAAGTTTCGTGAGCGCATTGAAGTAACGCCTTCACTCTTCAGGGCTACTGGCTTTTCTGATGCTACTTATTAACCTTTTCGTATTTATGTACAGTTTGGTGAAAAAAAATTCACACATTCACACAAAGATATCAAATTGCATCAAACTAAAATTTTACTAAGATTTTTCGAATGCATTATGTGCTTCTGAATTTCTATTACTTTTATATTTACAGCAGCCAAAATTCCCATACGGTCACCAATTTTCGCACTTCGACGTGATGCAACGGCTAGCAAGGTTGTCTCTCTAAATCAATTACGACTGAATAGCGACTTCGATCCTCACTGGACGACAGATGCAGGTTTTTGCAACGTTTAAGCTACGCTTAGAAAATCAACAAGCGGTCATCGATTTAAGTACTGCTCATGCCCGCCGCTGCTCGAGTTTGGGATTTGTACGTGTGTATATTTTAAACAGTGATAATTTCAGATAAAATATCACTTAATAACTACGTGTCAAGCTGTCTACTAATCACTTTCTTTTTCACTAATCTGATTAAATGCTTAAGATGCTAAGCTGGTTGAATTTGAAGGAGTCAGTAAAATAGAACAATTTAAAGATCCGATCTTTTTCTGAGTATATTTTGCGACGTTTCGGGCTTTTATTATTTTAATCTTCACTCTTGATTTCTTCGGGATAAGTGGGTGATTGGCGTCCTTGATGCCAAGATTTTGCAACAGAAAAAATTTCCCATAATCCATTGACTACCGACCGAGGGTGATGTTTTCATTCATGATCAAATTAGTATTTTCGCATCTGTATCGTTCACTATCTCTCTCTCTCTCTCTCTTTCTTTCTATCTATCTATCTATCTATCTATCTATCTATCTATCTATCTATCTATCTCGGTCTTCTCAGGATCTATCTATCTATATATCTATCTCGGTCTTTTCAGGATCTATCTATCTATCTATCTATCTATCTATCTATCTATCTATCTATCTATCTATCTATCTCAGTCTGTTCATATTTATCTATCTATCCAGACATTCATCTATCTATTATAACCATTTTTTCTATTAAAGCCTTCCTCTTCTCTCTCTATTGCACAATTTCTTCCTTTGTTTCTTTTTATCTATCTATCTATCTATCTATCTATCTATCTATCTATCTATCTATCTATCTATCTATCTCGGTCTTTTCAGGATCTATCTATCTATCTATCTATCTATCTATCTATCTATCTATCTATCTATCTATCTCTATCTCAGTCTGTTCATATTTATCTATCTATCCAGCCATTCATCTATCTATTATAACCATTTTTTCTATTAAAGCCTTCCTCTTCTCTCTCTATTGCACAATTTCTTCCTTTGTTTCTTTTTATCTATCTATCTATATCTATCTATCTATCTATCTATCTATCTATCTATCTATCTATCTCGGTCTTTTCAGGATCTATCTATCTATCTATCTATCTATCTATCTATCTATCTATCTATCTATCTATCTCGGTCTTTTCAGGATCTATCTATCTATCTATCTATCTATCTATCTATCTATCTATCTATCTCGGTCTTTTCAGGATCTATCTATCTATCTATCTATCTATCTATCTATCTCGGTCTTTTCAGGATCTATCTATCTATCTATCTATCTATCTATCTATCATATCCAGTTCTCTTCAATATCTATCACAGCCTATTCATTATCTGTCTATCTATCTATCTATCAATCTAGGTATGTATATATATATAAGTATGTTGAGATGTTGAGTGTTTCCGCGTGCGTGTATTGAAATAAGGACAAACATATACGTAGGGAAAAATACTAGTATATCTGAAGAGGTATTTACAACAGAGAGATTAATAATCAAACGAACGCAGGTTAGTCAGTAACAATCAGAAAGAGTATAAAGAATCCAACTGTATCTTCCGGTAGAGACGGAAGTGTGATGGTCACCTGATCTCCCAGAACTCTCTAGAACTGTCCTATTAGTAGAGAGATCAGTCCATTTTGATGATAAGGTGGGTGGGCCCAATAATATATATATATATATATATATATATATATATATATATATATATGTTTTGAACAATAAAAAATACTAAAAAATTAAAATCTTCAGACACACTGGGTTGTATATTAATATTCTTTCGTTTTTATTATTTCAGTTAGATTCTTCGACTAGTTTCGGCCAGCATGGCCATATATATATATATATATATATATATATATATATATATATATAATGCCAATGTCAGTGTGTCATACTTTTCAACTAAAGGGACTCAGCTCTCAATAATTCATCTCTCAGGAAATAAAACGGAAGAATTTATTTGCTACATAAACACTTGCATTGATCCAGATTTTGACACTGATGGGGATGAATCAAACGACATTAGATCAGAATTCTTTGAAAACAACAAATTTGAAATCGCTGATGCGAAAAAGCACATCATTCAAATAATCAGTTAAGTAATTCGGACATAAATGTCTGAAACTGACTGGTATCAAAAATTCATATGACAAAGTCCAATAAACATATTGTGCAAACATATAACGCTGCATTACAAACATTGTTAACGGACAGACCATTAGAAAACAGCATAGAATTAAATAATGTCATATATGCAACAGATTTGTCAGTTACTGAAAAACTTAATGTCAAGACAAAGAAAAGATTAAACAACAGATAAAAAGAACCCAATTGGAAGACAAAATTAAATCGAGGAAATCAGTTGTGTTATCGATACTAGAAGAGAATTGAAGAAATAAAAATTTATCTCAATCCAAATCTGCTTGTCAATGTCCACAGGTAAATCATGAAGAAATAAAAGACTCTCAAATACAGAAATCGATGCGATAAAACTAAATATAATACAAAGTATAATCAGACATAATCGAAACAAAAAATGAGGCAAGAGTAGAAATATATGATATGACAGAGGATGAGATACAAACTAAAATAAATGAGATACGAAATAATGATCTCTCAGGAAATAAAACGGAAGCTGCGACATAAACAACTGCATTGATTCAGATTCTGTTATTGATGAAGATGAGTTAAAACGACATTATAGCAGAATGAAAAGCACTGATACGAACAATCACATTCATTCAAATAATCAGCAAAGTAATTCGTACACAATATCAGAAAGAGACCGACTATCAAAAATTCATATGACAAAGTCCAATAAACATACTGTTCAAACATATAACGTTGCATTACAAACATTGTTAACGGACAGACCACTAGAAAACAGCATAGAATGAAATAATGTCATATATGCAACAGATTTGGCAGCTACTGAAAAACTTAATGTCAAGACAAAGAAAAGATTAAACGGCAGACAAAAAGAAACTGTTTGGAAGGCAAAATTAAAGCGAGACATTGAGGAAATCATATGTGAATTATCGATACTAGATTAGATTTTAAGCAATTCAAATTTTTCCACACGGAAAAGCAGGAGGATCAAGTGGAAATATCAAATTAAACTAGTAAATGAAATTCCGCCAAATAAAGAAGAAAATACTTAAACAGCAACTGCAATTAAAGGCACAGGGGAAAAGAGGATATGAAAAACGTTTTAGATTCTATCGATAGAATAGGATATTCGAAACAGACCTTAAGAAGTTTCACAGGAAAAATTCTCACCGCCATAAGGTTACCTCTCTAGCCTCTCATGGTAATTTTTTTTTGCTATGATGCCTAGAGTTTTTGAATTGAAGCAACGAGATCTCATCAATTTACAGCTGAGCTGGCGAGATGTGGCCGTAAATTCGATGCCAACTGTTTCTTCGCTCGCACTTCTCGCTTGTGGAACTCAATTCTTTCCAGCACAATTTAATCTGCAAAAATTTAAATGCAATGTCAATCGTTATCAACTGTTTTCCTCTCTTTTACTCTCTTCTCTTTCTGCTTATCATTATTGTTTCTGCTAGTAATTCTTCTACATCCTGCAACCCCTTCTCTTTAGTGGTATTCCTGTCCTGCATGTCGTGATAGCGATTAAAAAAATTTAAATATTAGAAAAGTAGTTATAGACGTCAAAAAGTCCCAATCTACTGAAGAAGTGTACAAAACTTGTGGGGGGGTATTTGGGGCAGCCCCAAGGAATATAATCCCAGTGAAGAATAGATAAGACGAGAACAAGAAAGAATGAAGGATAAACCTTTACAAGAATGGAAAAATATAACCAAGAATAATGTTAGGTAAACCCTAACAAAATCCCCTAAATGGAAATCCCCAGGAAATGACAAGGTACCCAATTTTTGGCTTTATCATCGGTCATCAATCTATAAAAATTTTGTAAAATCTTTATCTATGCTAATTAATAACCCCAATGAAAGTAGAGAATGGATCACTGAAGGTATTAAATATTTCCTACAAAAAAAGGGGGTGCAACACATGATCCGAAAAACTATACGCCAATAACACGTCTGGCCACCACATATAAATTGATTACATTTCTCATGATCAACTGTAGTTACACTTTTCTCGTGGTAAATAAAATTCTTCCCCTGGAGGATGTCGAAGAGGTTCATATGGTTGCAAAAAAATATTCTAAACGGACCACAAAAAGTTTTACAGGGAAATTGGAAAATCTGAAGTCAAAAATCGAGCATCTAATCCGAAGTCAAAGTCAAAAAGCCTCCATTTAAGGTGAAGTCAAAAATCCACCATCTAAGCCGAATTCAAAAAGTTACCATCTAAGCCGAAGACAAAAATACACCATCTAAGCCAAACTCAAAAAGCTACCATCTAAGCCGAAGGAAAGCAGCCACCATCTGAACCGAAGTCAAAAACCCACCGTCTAAGCCGAAGTCAAAAATCGACCATCTATGCCAATGTCAAAAAGCCACCATCTAAGACGAAGTCAAAATGCCACCATTTAAGCTGAAGTAAAAATTCACTAAGCCAAAGTCAAAAATCCACCATCTAAGCCGAATTCAAAAAGTTACCATCTAAGCCGAATTCAAAAATTTACCCTCTAAGCCGAAGACAAAAATCCACCATCTAAGCCAAACTCAAATAACTACCATCTAAGCCGAAGTAAAGCAGCCACCATCTGAACTGAAGTCAAAAACCCACCGTCTAAGCCGAAGTCAAAAATAGACCATTTATGACAATGTCAAACAGTTACCATCTAAGCCGGAGTCAAAAATCCACCATCTAAGCTGAAGTCAAAAAGTTAACATTTGTGTAAACATTTTGGGGGAAGTATTTGTAGCAACCCAAAAGAATATAATTCCAATGCAGAATGGGTGAAACAAGAACAAGAATAAATGAAGGATAAACCTTTACAAGAATGGGAAAATATAACCAAGAATAATGTTAGGTAAGCACTAACCAAAATCCCCAAAATGGAAATTTCCAGGAAATAACAAGGTACCCAACGTTTGGCTCTATCATCTGTCATTAATCAATGCAACCCTCGCTCACACTTTTTCAATGGTAATAAATAATCCTAATGAAGTTTCAGAATGCATCACTGAAGAGATTACATTTATCCTACCAAAAACGGGTGGAACAGATGAGCCAAATATTTATAGACGAATAACATGTCTGTCATGTTAATCACGCCTACAGGTAAGCCAAAGTCAAAAAGGTAAGACAGATATGTACATATCTGTCTTACCTTTTTCTCGGTGAAAACTTCATTCTTCCCTGGAAGAGAAAGGTTGCCAAAGAGGCTCATATGGTTACAAAGATCAATTGTTGATAAATAAAATGATCCTGAAAAATTATAGAGAAAAAGGTAGAAATCTGGGAACAG